ATGGAGGGGTTTGCAAATGGCAGCATATCTGTCATAGGCCATTGCTGCAAGGATGCAACCTTCATTGCTCCCTGTTAGAAGAATAAAAAACATTTGGACAAAACATGCAGAATATGAAATTGTCTGCTTTTCAGTCAAAATTTCTAAGAGCTTAGGCACAGTGACAGAAGACAAACAGATATCAAGAAAAGCCAGATGACCCAATAAGAAGTACATGGGGCTTGGGAGATGGCTTGTAACAACCATAATCACTATATTTCCCAGTAAAGTTAGGACATAAATAAAGAGGAATATAAAGAAGAGGAAGAGATTCACTGGCAAATTATCCGAGAATCCCCAAAGGACAAAGGAAGTGATTGCAGTACTTCGATTTTCTGTTTCCATTTTCAGTCAATGTAGAAACTTCAAGAAAAGGAGAGAAAATGAACTGTCATTAGCATGACAATACATTATGTTATGTTAGTCATACAATACTTTGCATAATTAAGGGTGATGTGAAATAGCAGAGGAAAAATTGGGATAGAGAAAATTGTCATCCCTAATTACAAGGCAGAAATCTATTCTCTCTTTTTAACTCAATAAATGGGGCAAATGAATGTTCTTTTTTTCCGAATTTGGGGCTGCTTTCAAAATCAACTGGTTTGGGATGAAAATCAAAAATTATAACAGATAAGCAATATCCAAACATTATCTTGAAGAGATTATAATAGATACATGTTATTTATATTTGCACAACTTGAGAAAAGGTAGGAAAATCTTCAATGTGTAGTGGGTCAAAGTTCAATAAAATTCCAGGGCATGCTACTTTAAAGTATGGGAGATGTCCTGTATCAAGTCAGAATAGTGTTATTTCAAGGTCCCTGTTTCCTATATCAGTTGCAACAACCAATATCCTCAAAGTGTATTCCCTACCATTTTCAGCTAAGATATTGTCTGAGAATTAAAACAGAGAAATCTGTTGTAAAATTGCTGGCATCAGCTTTTCCCTCTGAAGATGTCAAAGGTGAAATGTGGAACTTTTACTATATATTCTAAGAATTGTAGGACAATATCACATTTTCATAATGTTATAGAAATATTTATATTTTGCAAAAGTAGCATAGAAAATTAAAATTTAGTTTTTAAAATTAGGAGAAGGATGCTGGATTGACCTTCATAAAAATTGAACATTTTTTTCCTTTCTTAGTTTTAACTTTCCCTTAAAAGAAAAGTTGTCATGATTTCAGATTATAGGAAACATGGTCACTCAGGAAACATGGTCTTGAACATGGTCACCCAGAAAACAATACTATATTATAGGGGAAAAAAACATAGATTGTTCAAGCTCCTTGCTTGAAAAATCCGCATTTCTCTCCTTGAACAAGAAGGAAGGAAGGAAGGAAGGAAGGAAGGAAGGAAGGAAGGAAGGAAGATAACTATTTTAATTTAGCTTGAAATTTAAGGGCATACATTTTTAAATGATGCTTTTATTTTTACTAATATAATTTTAGTATTAACAATTAACTAAAATGTTTTATTACTGAATTATTTAACATTAACCAATGAAGATTTGTTAGAAGTAATATCGAAGAATTAGGAGGTGGAATAAAAAAAAAGATTTAAAGATCTAAAGAAACCTGCATTTCTTTTCTTGTTTCTAGAAAATCAAGAAAAAAATGAATGAAGTTTACCTGATTCTCTTTGTTGATTTCTTTAGCCTGAAAAATGCTGCATCTGTTATTGGCTGCTAAAAACCTATAAATGTTCATTTTATGCATTCACATGAGTTCAGTATTTGCCGTAGAAAATTCTTTCCTTTGGGGAATGTATGTTGAACTTCTTAATAATTAGAGCTATTGTACCTGCAGGAATCATCTTGGTATTTTACTTCCTTTCTGTGTTATCCCTCCCAATAAAACTGGTATGAAGTTTTCAGTCTCCCAAATTTCCTAATAGCTCTACTGAGTCTCTAGAATTTCCCCTAGGAAATCACCATATTTACATTAAGAAGTGAAGATGCCATTATTGGTCCAGGCTTTTTCAGGATGTCTAGCTTTACAATCTATTGTTTATTTATTGTTTATTGTACTTCCTATTTGACTTTTCTTTGGGAGATAAAAATCAGAATATACAATGAAGCAGACTTGCAGATCTTAATCCTCGAGTATTAAAATTTCAATTTTGTTTGTCTCCTGTGAAATATGTTTATTTCCCTTGGTGATGGAAGAACTGAATCATATAGGTGCATTATTACACTGCTAGAAGTTTTTCTTTTCTTTTCTTTTGGAATTTTTTGAGGATACTGGGTGAGAATAAAATTTGTTTTGATAAAGTAATGGCCATATTGTCATTTGGAAAGCAAGAGACAGAATCATGTTATGAGAACCCAGAATTCCTAAGGAGAAATTTGAGACCTCCAGCAAATTACACTATGGTCTGAATCAGTTTCGCTGCATGTTGCTTTATGGTGCCAGTTGTGGGATCAGGTGCATATAAAAGGGCAGCAAATAGCAGAAATGAATTCTCTTGTATTTTATTTATCTAATATTTTATTTATTCAGTTTCTATAGTTGACCATGTCAATTCAACTGACCTTGTAAAACACAGTAATCCCCACCCCCCACCACTTTGTAAACACATAATGCCTGACATGATTATGGGGGAAATAAGAAAGCCCAAGAAATTACCCAATTGCCTGACCAGTTTTTCCTAATGGTTGCAAAGGAAAGGGACAGTTGGAATTTTGGTTTGAATACTCATGGAATCCAGAATTCACATATTTAAACATGTATGCCTATAATTACCCCAAGTTCTCACCTTGAGTTAGAAAGGTAACTAGTTAGTGAGAGTAATGCTGAGACTTACCTGAACCTTGTTAAGGTAATGTTACTTGAACTAGTTAAGCACTAATAAAATTGATGACCAGTCAGTTTTCAAATGTTTCAAAAGTGAATTTGCAAGTCAACCCAAGAAAGTCCATCTCAAAATGATGTCCAAAATGTCCAAAATGATGTAGGTTGAGAGTTTATTGAGAAATGTGCCAGTAAATGCTTCAGTAGTAATTATCTTGCACCTATGGGTGTCATTCATGTATGAATTACAATTACTAATTTCTATTCCCTACTAAATAATTTGTACATCTCATAATGTCCTCAGAGTTTAATGAGCCATAATATCTATTATATACTCTTTATGCAACAGTGACCAACATTGAATACAAGGCATCTAGCGACAAGTTATCTTGCCTTATCTGGATCCTCCATTGTTAATTGATTGATTGTGCATTTGTACCAATACAAGATCCAATGTTTTGATGGATTTGAAAGTATGAAGATATATAAGCAAAAGCTGGTTTTTAAAGCAGTATTAGGAAAATAAAAAATGCCACTCTAATAGTCTATCAGTGTAACTAATAAACAATCATCAAATATAAAAAAGCATAAGAAAACATAAAAATATAAAACCAGATGGAATAGTAATGAGGTAATAAATTTGGCATGATGATAAAAACAAATAAAATAAAACATATAGGAACAAAACACATATTTTAAAACAAGAAAATGATTATGCAAATGAAAATTTAAGGATTTTTACATGGAATTGAAAAGACCTTAATGCACCTCATTAAAAGGATTTCTCTGGGAAAATATCAAACAGACTACCAATAAAGGAGAATATTTATAGCTCAGGGATTCTTGGTGCTCCCTGAGCTTGGTTGTTTTCTTGCAGATGTTTCATTACCCAAACTAGGTGATATTATCGGTGCAGTACAATGTTACCTAGTTTGGGTAATGAAACATCTGCAAGAAAGCAACCAAGCTCAGAGAGCACCAAGCTTCATACAGACTACTAAAAAGGTTCTTTACATGTTGCGTGAAACTCAGAATTCATGAAGACATAAGATGATGAATAAATTAAATGCAATCTTTATTTTAGTTAAACAACAACCACAGCTTTAAAAGAAAGCATACTGGACGTCTTTGCATAATTTTCCATATTTCTTTTCTATCAGGGATTTCAAATTGTGCATTTCTTGGAGGCCTGAAAAGATGAAGGTTAAGCAGAAAGAATCTGCAGAGTTCTTTCTCAGAATATTACAAACATCTGAATGGAGGAGAGAAGAATGCCCTTATGCCACAAAGTACACCATTACTTTTTTCCCTTTTATGCTTATGCTTCTTTTTAAAATATTTCTTTTGTCATTTCCATCTCTCATCTCTTTCTCTGTCTCTGTTTTCTATCTGTTCCTATCTTTCATTTTCTTAGTTTTATCTTTATGATTTATTTTAAAAATAATGAAATTATATAAATTATTCACCTTTGATCAAGTGAATCAAGAATTATACAAAATTCTTCATGAAGACTCTCTAAAAATGGAGAAAGTTTCATTCTTCTAGCACGTCTCATCAATGTTGTCATAATCATCAACATCAATATCATAATTCACATATTATTTTAGAATATCATACAAGCAGAAACCTGAGACTCCTTCCTATACAAAACAATAGCCATCTGAATTAGATTCATCAATAGAAGATGTCTGGACAATAGTTCTAAAAAATTGTCAACAGATTATCTGAATGACAATTGATCATGAAAAGAAGTCTACTAAACTATGACTACACAAAGGAAATCCACTTATTTTATTCTGTCACATCTATATGAAACAAATTAAGGAATAACTTTCCAAAATATTATGTTAATTTTTTCAGTTCACCATCTGCATACTAATCAATTTGTTTTATATCAAACCACTTTACAGAGTATGAGAAATCAAGGGTTTGTAGCCCATTAGCTTTTTGATGGCTTCCTTCACTTCCCTGTTTTTCAGGCTGTAGATAAGGGGGTTCAGCATGGGTGTGGAAATGCTATATTGTATACTGATGAGTTCATCCACAATAATTGAGGAGGCTGAGCTGGGTCTCATATACCTAAAACATCCAGTGCTATAATATAAAACCACAACAATAAGGTGACTGGTACAGGTAGAGAAAGTTTTCCTTTTTGCTTCTGTGGAGTTCAACTTCAGAATAGTGGAGATGATATGAACGTAGGAAAATAAAATTAAAGTGAATGAACATATGACAATGACACTACCAGTTATGAAAAAGAGTATCCAATTGGAAAGTGTTTCTGTGCAAGATAATGCAAATAGAGATGGCAGTTCACAACTGAAATGCCTGATAAAATTTTCTCTGCAGAAACTGAGTTTCAAAGCAGAAAATGTATTTATTAAGGAATATGAAAAAGTTATTGTCCAGGCACCGCCTACCAGCCATCTACAACATGCTTTCTTCATAATTTGTACATAATGGAGGGGTTTGCAAATGGCAGCATATCTGTCATAGGCCATTGCTGCAAGGATGCAACCTTCATTGCTCCCTGTTAGAAGAATAAAAAACATTTGGACAAAACATGCAGAATATGAAATTGTCTGCTTTTCAGTCAAAATTTCTAAGAGCTTAGGCACAGTGACAGAAGACAAACAGATATCAAGAAAAGCCAGATGAGCCAAGAAAAAGTACATGGGGTTTGGGAGATGACTTGTAACAACCATAATAACTATATTTCCCAGTAAAGTTAGGACATAAATAAAGAGGAATACAAAGAAGAGGAAGAGATTCACTGGCAAATTATTTGAAAATCCCCAAAGGACAAAGGAAGTGATTGCAGTACTTCGATTTTCTGTTTCCATTTTCAGTCAATGTAGAAACTTCAAGAAAAGGAGAGAAAATGAACTGTCAAGTGCATCATTCAGGGTAGAATACCATGGAACAAAAAAAAATATGGTATAGAGAAAATCATGGTTTCCACTTACATGGCAACAATCTTCTACACTTTCATATCAATAAATTGAGGAGTGAATTTTTTTCTTTGAAAATATTCTTTTCCCAGGTTTGGCATTGTTTTTAAAATATGTAGGACTTCAGGTCTGAGCTCAGAATTGATGGATTGATGGATGCCAGCAAGTCAGGTTCACTCTTAGTGAATCTTAGTTCGATTACTCCTTCTGTGGATCGTTTAGTTGTAAGCATTTAGTACAAATTAAAAAAAAAATCAGAAAACAATTGTGTTTCTCCAGGAGACATTTATAGGTTTAAAAGATTAGGCAGGACTGTCTGATTATGTTTTGTTCCAGCACATTTTTGTTCTATAATATAAAGCACTTATCTCTTTCCCTGGTAAACTCTGCACCACAATGAAATACTTTAGATAAAGAAAAATAAACTTTTCTTTGCTGATGCATTGTACATTTTTTCCCTGGTATAACACAGCCTCTAATACAAACTGCACATACACAGAATCCTCTTCAAAGGCTTTCACTAAGCTACTTCAACTAATTAGACATTCACAGTTTCTTAGTCATACTTAACCTGAAATTCTCTCTATGAACCAAATTATAATTAGTTATTCTAATCACCTGAAACTGTTTTATACAATCTTAGCGGTGAAAAATTGATGGCAAAATGACTTTTACTACAATAAATAAAATTACAATGAAAGAAAAGAAATCACCATCTCAAGATACAGTTTAAATCAACAATTATTTTGATGGAGCACACCATTCTATGACATACCTATTTTTGATAGTCAACAGTCCCAAGGAAATGGTTATCACATGATAATATAACTGGAAAAGCAGTATGGAACCTGGGACTATTTTCTCCATTTTACAGGGGCAGGAATAAGTTACTTTTAACAGTTATATACATGTGAAGCTGATCAGAGGGAATATAACTTTCATTTCCCAATTAAAATCAGTGAGGAAAAAAGAAACAAACAAATGAAATCTGTACTAATTCAGTATATTTGCCAAATGGAGCCATATACTTTTGAGATCCTCAGAACTAAAGGGCAGGAAGATTTAAAATCACATAGGAACTCTTGATTGCTTGTCTTCAGGTCCATGAAACTTAATACAGTATGTTTGTAGTTCAAACACTATTTTCTACCTAAGATTTAGAAGACATGTTACAACATGAAGCATGAAATCCTAATAACTTATTTGCAGCATCCTAAGTGCCATTATTTCTTTTATATGTCATAATAAACCCATTTGCTTTGCTGCAATGTGTAGTGGTAGAGTACAATGAATATGAGAAAAATGTAATTGTTAATGAAAAAAACAAAATAAACCACTAAAACTATATTTGTCTGTAAATGATAATATGGAATTTGTGAATTAATGCTCATTCTTCCAAACAAACAAGGGAAGAACAATGTATAATTGAAAGTTTTACATAAGCCACTGACTTGAAAAGAAGAAAGTTTTGAATGATTTGCACATAGTTTTATATGATTTTTCATTGTCCTCCATTAAATCAATAACTACAAAACAATACCAAAGGTGATTATTTTTAAGAAGAGAAACAAACTTATAAATACAAAGTGGTAGAATTCTGCCACTGAACACGTTTAGGATAAAAATCAGTATTTTATTCTGAATACCTTCTGGCAGATAAATGTCATGCAGAACCATTTATCTGCATGATTGGTACCAATCAATTAGTTTGGGATGAAAATAAGACGTTATATATTTATGTAAACAGTATCCACTGCCCTGAAAAATTAATAACAAAATAAATGTTATCAATGTTTGTACTTTTCTGAGTCAGGATAGGAAGGTTTTCAATATGTAATAAATAAAAGTTCATTAAAGTTGTGAGGAATGTACTTTAAAAATTGGAAGATATCCTGTGATAAGTCAGAATACTGCTATATTTCCTATATTATTTTCATCAACCAAAGTCCTCAAGGTATACTTCTTACCATTTTCTGCTAATATATTGTCTGCTTCTATTTCAGCTAACTTGGAACTTTCTATTGTGTATTCTAAGAACTGTAAAAAAATATCACATTTCCCCTAATGTTGTAATGTTTATATTTTAGGAAAATTATATAGAAAATTAAATGCATTCAATTTAAATACATACATTTTCTACTATTCTTGTAGTTCTAATCTCCCCAAGTACAAAATATGGATATTACTTTATTTAAAATATGTTACTACCAAAACATTCATAATTAGCCCACAGTGTTTTACTAGGAGTAATATTGAAGAATTGGGAGATGGTTAAAAAAACATTTAAATTTTTTTGCTTCTGTTCTTAAGAATTCCTTTTTTTTCTTCTAGAAAATCAAGAAAAAAGCAGTGCAGAATGAGGTTTACCTGATTCTCTTTGCTGATTTCTTTAGCCTGAAAAATGCTGCATATGTTATGCTGCTAAAAACTTATAAATGTTCATTTTATTACATTCATATGAGCTTCCTTAGTGAATTGTTTCCCTTGGGGAAAACATACAGACCTTCATAATAATTAGGGATATTGTAGCTGGAGGAATCACCTTAATGTTTTATTTATTTTTTGTGTTATGCCTAATACAAATACAGTGTTTGTGAAGTTTTCATTCTCCCAAATATCCTAATAACTTTGCTGAATCTCTGGAATTCCCCATAACAAGGGAGTATATTTACACCGTGGAAGTAAAGATGCCATTACTGTTCAAGGCTCCATTAGGAAGTCTAATTTTGCAATCTCCTCTTGTTTATTGTATTTGATACTTGATTTTTCTTTGGGAAAACAAGATAGAGTACACAATGAAACAGCTTTAATATTTGAGTATTCAAATTTCAAAGTCTTTTCCTAATCATGACATTTTCCTTGAAGCTGGAAGGACTGAACTTCTACCTGCATGATTACAGTACTGAAAGTTGTTTCTTTTTCTTTTGGCATTTCTTTTCAGGATACTAGCTGAGATGAAAATAGATTGTAATAGCACTAATGACAATCTTTTGGAGCGCAAGAGATAGGATCATTATATGAATGAATTCTCCCAGAATTCCTTGGGAGAAATTTGAATTCTCTAAGTATCTATTCTACAGTCTGAGTCAGTTTTGCTATATGCTGCTATATAGTGTAAATGGAAGGATCGAGTAAATGCACACTAAAGGGCAGCACGTAGCAGAAATATATTTTCATTTCTCTTATTTATCTGTTATTTTATTTATTCAGTTTCTATAGCTGACCATCTCAATGCATTTGCCTCTGTAAAACACTATAATCCCATTTATCCATGCCTGCCACTTCCTAGAGACATATAGCACCTGACATGAAAATGTGGGAGTGAAGACAGCCCAAGAAATCATGAAATTGTGCAATTGGAACAGTCCATGGCCCAACTATCTGATGAAGTTTTCCTAATGGTCCCAAAGGAAAAGAACAATTGGAGTTATGGTTTCAATGTTATGCAATTCAGACTTCCTATTGGTCATATACATATAATTCCCCAAGTGGTGGTCTTGAGTTGGAAAGGAATCCTGAGCCTCACAGTAGTTAAAGATACCTGGACCTTGTTAAGCACTATTTAGATTTAGCTTCCAAATGTATACAAACTGAATTTGCAACTCAAGAAAATCCATTCCAAAATAAAGTCCAAATGAAACATGTTGAGAGTTTATTGATAAATGTTTCCATATTTGCAAAGAGGAAATATAAATGAACCTAATTTATCTATCATTTCAGTGAAATGATTGGAAAAGTAAGTAGGAAGTTGAGTTGACAGAGAGTTGTCTTTGAGTCAGCCAATTTGAAGGTTACTAGAAGAAATTTGCAATACTGTCTCTCATTCATCAGGATGTTTTATTCTGCAGTTTGGCTTGCAGGCTATATTCACAACAATAAGCAAAGATAGTCAATTATACTTTCCCTTATTGCAAGTAGAAGCCAGAGATCATCTACTGAAAATTGCAATACCTTAATTGGATCTTCAGTTGTTAAAAGAGTGACTAATTGCTTGACTGCTTGACTGATTTACTGTGCATTTGCACCATTCGGTACAATAATTTAGATTAGATAGATAGATAGATAGATAGATAGATAGATAGATAGATAGATAGATAGATAGATAGATAGATAGATAGATAGATAGATAGATAGATAGATAGATAGATAGATATGGAAGGCAGTATAAAGAAATATAAACAAAAGTTTTTAAGGCAATATATGGAAAATAAAAATATCACTATAGAAGTCGATAAATTTACCAGATTCATGAATGAACATCAGATATAAGAAAGAATAAGAAAACAGAAAATAATAAAACAAGTGTCACAGTAATGAGGTAATAAATTTGCCATGATGATAAAATCAAGTAAAATAAAACAAATCATATAAATTCTAAAATATGTAAATTGTTTTGCAAATGCAAATTAAATGATTTTTATTTGATATTTAAAAGATCCCAATGTAGATAATAAAGAAGTTTCCCTGAGAAAATATTCCTAGACACATAACATCACTACTAAAAAGGCTGTCTACATTTTGCATGAAACTCAGAATTAGTGAAGAGATGAGATGATGAATAAATTTAAATGCACTCTTTATTACAATTAAACAGCAATCACAACAATTTTAAAAGAAAGTATGTGTAGCCTCCTTGCATAACTTTGCATATTTCTTTGCTCTCAGGAGTTCTCAAACTACATTTCTTGGAGGCCAGAAATTTTGAAAGTTAGGCAGATAGAAAACTCAGAATTTGCAGAGATCTCTCTCAGGGAGAAAGCACAGAAGATCACAAACATCTGAATGGAGGTGAAAAGAATGTCCTGGCCCAACTCATACTCCACATTAGACAGCTGCTGATAAAAACTTTGCACTCATTCAATGGTTCTCCAAACCAATGCTGATGTACTATC